AAGTGACTGGGTTGCATCCAGTAGAAGGAGCACCCTCCACCATTACCCCTCCTGCCTAAGATCTAGTGTAATCTTGGCTAGGAAAAAGACCCCTTTCAATTGCAGCATTGGAGTTTAGTTATCCAAGACTATTGGTTCCTTGGTGATAGTCCCTCTTTCTCACTTTTCATCTTAACCTATTTTTGTAGCATTTTATGCAAAAATATAATCTAAAACTCTATAGGTTATATCTTCATTTTAGTTTCTGACTCTGCCCCTTTCTGGTCTACTCCCTCTACATGGCTCCATGACTCCTAGAAAGTTAGTCATGGGTGTGTTCCTAGCGCCTGCATTTCTGATTTCATTTCTCTCCTGCAGATTAGTTCTACACATTGCCCTCTGACTCCTTGTCTTCCATTTGACCCCCTTTTAATTTATTCTTTACACAAAAATTATAATAAAAAAAGGCAGCTGCTGGTTATAGATGGTATAACAATACTTGGGATCTCCCCAAAATATTGTTTACTTCCAAGTATTCCTTCATCAACAGCATGTGAAAAAACTTCCAGTGAACAAGAAATTTAAATATTTAGAGGACAGAAAGCCTAGAAAAGCATGTCAAAAGGGAGAAGGGAGGCCAGAGAAATTGGAGGAGGCACTATAAGTGGAAGAAAAAGCTGATCTGCCAGTGAGAACCTCCGAGAGCACTGGGCTTAAAGTCAGTAGGCATGAGGGGCAAAAGAGAAAATCCCTAAACCAGATCCTCTTCCAAATCACAGCTCATGTAAGCCAGTGTTAGCCCATGGGGTAGAGGAACTTTGTGGAGGTTTTATCTAAAAATTTAAATGAAATTCTGATTGAACTTGTTTCACATGTAAATCTTAGCTTTCCAGAAAGAGCCATTCTTATTTTGGCAGGTGAGAACCTCATAGTCCAATATATTCCCTGCTTACTCAGTTTTGAAAGAGTGACTGTACAGACAATGCCAGCCCAAATATAAAAACAGATTTCAGATCTATTGTCCACATACAGTAGGCATACCTGAAGCTTTCCCTTTTCCTACTCTAAAGATTTCTCACATTCAGGCTTGTGGCACATGTCATAATTCTAACACTTGAGAGGTTAAGACAGAAGCTCATGAGTTAGAGACCAGCCTGGGCAACATAACAAGATCCTACCTCAAAAAAGCCAAATTAATGAATTGATTTATTGATTAATAAATATTCTCACTAGTTTACTTGCCTTTGAGTGTTTGCCAAAATGTAAGTGATGGTGTCTGGCTCCCTTGTTGCATAGCACACTCTGAATCAATAGCCTTTACTTATGCTCATTTGAGTGGTATTTATTTTTTTCCACCCTCTGCAGCAAAGTCAGTCCTGCGGTCAATAAGACTACCCACCCCCACCACCACACAGATCTTGTCAGTAGCTTTGCTCTTGAAAGAAATGAAGACCCATATATACAACCCAGGAGGAAACCAAGCAAGGTAGAAAAGTCAGCCTAGTCCCTGGTATTTGACTGTATGGACAAAGTCATAAGACTCAGAAAAGCAGCAGTACATGGAAGATGATCAGAGAACAGAGCAGAATGACCTTGGAGGAAACATATCATTCAGAGACTAGAAACAAGCTTTGAAAAAAAGTCTAATTAGACCATCAGGGAGACTTGAGAGGATATGGCATCCATAAAACCAAAACAGACAGCTGTTTAAAAAACAACAAGGGAATGAAAAAACTAGTTTACTTGCCTTTGAGTGGGGTTTGCCAAAATGTAAGTGATGGTGTCTGGCTCCCTTGTTGCATAGCACACTCTGAATCAATAGCCTTTACTTATGCTCATTTGAGTGGTATTTATTTTTCCACCCTCTGCAGCAAAGTCAGTCCTGCGTCAATAAGACTCACCACCACCACACAGATCTTGTCAGTAGCTTTGCTTTGAAAGAAATGAAGACCATATATACAACCCAGGAGGAAACCAAGCAAGGTAGAAAAGTCAGCCCTAGTCCTGGTTTTGACTGTATGGACAAAGTCAAAAGACTCAGAAAAGCAGCAGTACATGGAAGATGATCAGAGAACAGAGCAGAATGACCTTGGAGGAAACATATCATTCAGAGACTAGAACAAGCTTTGAAAAAAAGTCTAATTAGCACCATCAGGGAGACTTGAGAGGATATGGCATCCATAAAACCAAAAACAGACAGCTGTTTAAAAAACAACAAGGGAATGAAAAAAAAGTCTCCTGGAAATTAAAAAAATGGATTTATGAAATTAAAAAAGATCAGAAGATTAAGTTGAAAAACTAACACAACAAAAAGCAAAAAATCTGAATTTTTAGCAGAAAAGATAAGCCACTTTTTTGGTACCTTTCTTATAACTAATTCCAGAATGGCTAGAAGTGGGTGCCTCTGGGTGGGGGCCCTGGAGTTGAAGGTGTGCTGACTGGGGCTCTGTGTTTCTGTTAGAAGTCCTTTAAGCCATGTATTTTAGTCATGCACATGGATCACTCCAAATGAAACAATTTCACTGGAAGTGTGGTAATTCACTCCTTAAAAGCTATACTCCTCCTAACCCCATAAAGGGGTGGGGGTCTACTTCTCTCCAACACTCCCCTTATCTGCTTCAGTTCTACTCAGTGCCTACGAGGCTGTCCTGTGTGAGCCTATGAGCTGGAGCTGTGGGGTCAGATTTTGTTGGTTTCAAACCTACTTGGCCTTATGCTCTAATTAGAAAATGAAGATAAGGCTTTTATGAGATCAAATGAACCACCTAACACATGTAACACACTTAGAGTCCTTGACACACAGTAAGCAGTCAGTAAATACTAAGTTATTAGGACGCCCAGGACTAGCCTTGTTAACTCACAGCTTTAACTACTTTGTCTGCTTTTTAATATCTAAAAACACTTTTAAAAAGTCACTAAACTCTCAGATTAGAAGGCACACACCCTCAGACACTTCCTTCAGTCCTCTATTCTGAAGAGACTTTTAAATATTTTTGCAAAGTACTAGGGATTGAATTCAGGACTTTGTACTAGTTATTTTACCATATAAGCCATATCCTCAATCCTTTCTTTTTCAGTTAGTCTCCCCACTACCTTTCCCCAGGCCAGCCTCAAACTGTAATCCTGCTACCTCTACCTCCCAAGTAGCTGGGATCACAATATCCATATCCAGCTTGTTTTTGAGAAAGGGTTTTACTAACCGACCCCCCACAATCCTAGCCAAGACTGGCCTCTAATTGAGATCCTCTTGTCTCTGCCTCCCAAGTAGCTATATTTTGTTTTTTTTTTTTGTTGGGACTGAGGTTTGAACTCAGGGCTTCGTTCTTATAAAGCAGGCACCCTACTGCTTGAGCCACACTTACAATTCTGTATTTTTAAAGCATAATTTATTGATTGATGCATTTAAGAGCATCAGTACTGTTACTTGGGTCCTGCCTCTCAGGACCTTGGGGCCTTAGCAAGTGTTTGATTAGCATTTCCCTTCTGTTCTCAGTGATTTGCCCTCCTCCACTGAAGCTCAAGCCTCACCTAGACATCTGCCAGCCTCTTTCTTCCAGACATCCTTTGACCAAGCCTTGTCCCCACTATCACTGCCAGCTGTCCCCTGAGCACCACATTTGGATTTGTGACTATAGTACTCTACCTGTGACAGGGTTTGCTCAATGAGCAAGTTACAGATAGGTACAGAGAGAATGGAGGCAGAGTTTATTTGATGAGCAGAGTTAGCTAGTGTCTGGAAAGAATAAGCACTTGTTAGAAAAGTCAACCAATCAAAGCATGAGAACACTCTGTCACAGAAAGGGTGGGAAAGGCACTATCTAATGCTGGAAGGGACTAGGCTTCAGGCTCCAGAAGGTTCCTAGTGGGTAGGTCAACTGCCAATCCACTTACAAAAGAGATTTGAATTGAGAGCCCTTTCTTCAGTTCAATGTTACACTTTTGATTCATTCTGTAGGTCATGGTACAGCCCAAGAAGCACATACTATATCCTAGCAAAACAAAAGGCACTGTGTCCTTGTTTCTTCTTTATTTTTGTAGATTAAATCATCTTGTCCAACTACTTCATTCCTCTCAGCAGAGAAAAAAATAAACAGTTCTTACACGAAGGACAAAAGAATCACCAAAATTCACATAGAGAGTGGGAAAGTACCAGGTGTGGTGGTGCATGCCTGTAGTCCCAGCTACTCAGGAGACTGAGGCAGGAGGATTACTTGAATCCAGGAGTTCTGGCTATAGTGCATTATGCCTATTATGTAGGTATACTAAGTCTGCCATCAGTCTGGTGACTTCCCTGAAGTAGGGGACCACCAGGTTGTCAAAAGATAGGTGAACTGGCCCAGGTCAGAAAGGGAGCAGGTCAAAAGCCCCATGCTTATCAGAAAGTACAAAGACTAGATTAGAACTACACTCTCCAAAGTTCCAAACTAGTTAGTGTATTGTGTGATTCTGGGGGTATAAGGAAGGGGCCAAGAGGAAAAAGGAACACTGAGCACAGTTGGGGTCAAATAGAGCCTATGGTCAGGATGGCCCCATCACCCTGGCTCTGGGGCTTTCACATGGTGTATCACTTATTGAAAAAAGAGGGTGTTGAAAGTGTTCCCATCAGAGAGGTGTTAAGAGACTAGGTGGCAAATACTAAGAGATTAATAATTCTTAGGTAAGTAACACACTAACTTTGAGACTTCAGTGCAGCGGGAAAACCAGCTCCCTCTTTGTACATGTTGGATCCATGCCTGTGGGGCTGGTGTAGAGTGGCACACAGAAAGGAGAGGTCCATTGCCATTTTATTTGAGGCACCATGGTAAAATAGGAGGCCAGGCTGACACCATCAGCTCTGCCATGGAAAGGGTGAGCATGGATAGGACAAGCAAGTCCTGGAATCCCTTCAGAGTCCCCAGGTCTAAAGGTAGGAGGGGTGGATGAGGGGTGGATCACTTCAACTCTGCCTTCCCCAAGTTGCTTCCAAGGCCAGTTTAAGAAGAGCAGAGCAGTGGAGGAAGCCTCAGTCCAAAATGTAGGACTCAGTTGCCTGCCATGGCAGTCTCAGTGTCTGCTTCCCATTTCCATCCTTTGCTATTACTTTTAGTCAATGGCCAGAGGAAGGAGGTGGCCAGGCTTGTGGAAGCAAGGAAATAGATGGGAGAAGACAGGCCACAGAAAAGGAACAACAAGCACAGCAAGGAGACCATGAGGGTGTCAGAGAGCTCCTGGGCTGGAGCAGGGCTAGCGAAGAGGCGGACCACGGCCACATTGGGGTTGCCCTGAGCAGGCTCAAACCACTTCTGGAGACACCGGCTACTATTCCTGCCCTCAGGGCTCACTTTGAAGGAGTTGCTCCAAATTTTCTCACACAGATCAACTGGGGTGGGGAAGTATTCTGGAAAAGGGCGGCAGGCGGCCCCCTTAGGGCAGCGGTTCTTCCCTGTGGGATGAGTTAAGGATGGACAGCTTGCTTTCCACTTCTCTCCTCCCATGTCCCCATCATTTATCCTGAGAGACATATGGAGGGTTGCATCTGCACCCAGGTTGAAAGCCCCCAAGGGGCCTACTTCTTCCTGGGCCCTGTCAGCACTACTTACCCTGACTCCAGTCCCAGCCACCAAACCAATTGGATTTGCAAGTGTAAGACGAGCTGCAGTCATCCCACCACTGCTCACAGTCCTCCAGCACAGTGGCACATCCAAAATCCGCTCTCCCTGCTCACGTGGGCCATCTGAATGTAGGAACAATGAGAAATAAAAACATTAATAGCAACCAGTTGAAGACTACTAATAATTACCATGGTGCTTGTGCCATCCAATAATAATATATTTTTTTTTTATTTTACAAGTGAAAACAAGGAGGCTAAGTGGTTAAATAGTATGTCCCAGGCTATATAGGCACAGATGATGGAACTCAAATGCAGATCCATCTGATTCCACCAAGCCTCTTTGGTGATAATCTCTCATCCTACTGTCCTCATCTGACCAGTGTAACCTATGCCATCCATCCTCCAGGGCTAGGAGCAGCTTCCTCTCCATCCCTTTCCCCAACAGAGGCCTCTGGCTCTGCTCTTGTCCATAGAGAGACAGAATCTTCCATTTTACCAACCTCCCAGAGACACCAAACTATAAGTGAATGGAAGCTCTGGCTCTTAGTAACAGTATTGAATGAGCCTGCCATCTGCCCCCTTACCAGTCGGATCCAAGGCCCCAGATTAGGGGAACACTCATAGAAGCAGATGGCCTGGATGAAGTGCTTCTGACAGCTCGGGGTCAACAAGCCACAGTGAATCAAGGTGAAGTTGTAGAGCGGGGACACATCGAGGTGGGCTTCCCAGCTTGTGGTGGTTGTGCAACAGGCATTATCCTTCCAGGGGGAGCACTGAAGTTAGAAGAAGCAATAGGCATTGGGAGTAAGAGGCAGTGGTTGGTGAGTGCCTAGGGCCAAAGTGTGGCAGAGTGAAAATGTTTTATGAAAAGCTCAAGCAAGTGTGATAGCTTGAGCACCCCCGATAGAGTGGGGACCCTAATCTATCAATATTCACCCAAAGGGCAGGAGGGACCTGCCCTTTGCCTCCCTCCACATTGCCTCCCTGACACAGAACATAATTTCTGGGGCAGCAGAGGTCTTTTGTGGGAAAGCAAACAGAAAGGAGTCTCAACAAGACCCAGGGAATCTGGGGTTGCACTGGACAGGAAGAATGCACAGGCTAAATATCAGCTCTGTCCATCCTTCCACAACCCTGTCAATTGCCTTTGGGAAACTGGTGAAGGGACACTTAAACTTAAGTCATATGTTTCCCCAGGGTTTGTTGATAGGAAGGCTTGTTTTGATCCATGCTGAACCAACAGTAGGTCTCTGGGATCATCATTTAACCTGCTCGCCAAGTGGCTAGAGAAGCTCAGAGATGGGAACTTTGTATCACTATCCACTTAAGGAACTAAATGATCAGGGTTGGTGGGGGTTCAGAGACCATCTTGTCTTTTGTGTCCCATCCATGATCAGAGTGAGTGTCAGAGAGGCACTTCCTCACTGCTTGGTCAGGTCTGGCCTCTGTACCTCCACATACAGCTTGTCTTCTGGGCCAGGTTCTCTCTTGTGGTGTCTGTCATTCATGCAGACATTTAGCAGTTTGTCTTCAGTCCAGGTGGGTACAACTGTACACATCCCTAGCAGGAACTGCCACCATTGTACCATGGCCTGTTGCAAAGAGGAGACTCATGCTGCTCATGTGATGCAGAGGACAGCCCACCCCATTCCCTCTACTATGCTAGGCACTGGAGAGGGATTATGGGCACCAAGTTTCCCTCAAGTGGTTATGACACACTGGCTGTTCCTAGGATCTTGTATTCTGGAGCAACATCACAGAATGTTAGGACAGATAGAATAATCCTTACATGCCACACACTTCACCCCCAACCATTATATAAAGGCAGAAATTGAAGCCTAGCAGGGGAAGAGAGCAACCCTACAGAGGAAGTCAGGGAGACTTCCAGCCCTTCCTTGAGGAACTTTTCTAGTCTTTCTCCACTTGGAGGCAGCCTTTCTAAATCAATGACATACGGGCTGGGAATTCAGAGCTTTGGTCCAGCCCCCAAATGCTGGTAACTGAGTAACTGAACAAATATTCAGTAAACAGTCTTTCCATGGAGCCAGAGAGTCCAGTAGGTGAGGTAGTGTGGCCAATGCAAGACTTACCCCATCAAGTGCCAACCCTGACTCTAGCCTCTAGGAGGGATCCATGTAAGGCCCACAGCTGAGGACAGAACAGTTTGTCCCCACACCAGCTCCCTCTAGCCAAAGCCCTTTCCTTAGAGCAGTAGCTCTGATTCCACCAGCCTCAACCTACCTGAAACCCATGCAGAGCACAAGGCTGGAACAGCCAAGGTTGGGGGCCCACTGGCCTATCAGAGCACGGCATGCCCATGACGAGTATGTGAGGAGCCTTCCTCATCCAAGCCCTTGCATCAGCACAGGAGCAAGAAGGCTGGCCTTTTCCTTGATGTCTATTGAGCAATATATTTCTAACTCTGCTCCCAGTTGTACTTGCAAGGGGAGGAATGAAAAGAGAGACCCTCCCACCAAAAAAAGCCAAGGAGCACTATGTTTCAAGCACCCACATGACCCCTTCAGAACAGGCCCCCTCAATCTGTACCACCCAGGATCCATGGCCCCCTCATCCTCCAGGCCTGGCAGGAATCTTTCCTGGACCTATCACAATGAAACTAAAAACTTGCAGCCCAGCCTAAGTTCACACCTGGATGGGGACCCCAGCTGCCACCTCAGAGTGTCTATCCTCAAGCGGTGCTTTCTCCACAGCACCAGTTCTGAGCTCATACAGGACTACAGAGAGAACCAGGTATGTTAGGGGAAAAGAAAAAAGATACTGCTCCTTCTAGCATCCTCTTCATACTCACTTTCAAGCAGGAGTCCTCCAGGTGCTCCCTCCTACCCCAGAAAGTGAGCAGGTCTGAAGGGAAATCTATCAGCTGCCCATTTATTACCTGATCCAGTTTCTACTAGGTCCAGGTGCAGAGCAGAACGGCTAGTGGAAAAAAAAAAAAAAAGAACGGCTAGTGGCTCCAGCTGAGCAACTTCCAGCTTACCGGCTCTGCAAAGAAACAAAACCCTACAGCACCGGAGATCCGAGGTCCTATAGTCAGCTGCTGAGTTCAACTCTCAGCACTGCCTCTCAAGTCATCAGCTGTATGACTTGAAGGAAATTACTTAAACCCTATCAATTTGCCATCTGTAAAATGAGACCGTAGGGAAAAAGAAAGATGCAGTTCATGAAAAGCACTTGACATAGCATAACTATCTGACACAGCTAATCTTAATGTAAGTTTTAAATCTTAATCCTCTATTCTCTGAAGTTTCTGTCTCTTCCCTCTCTCTCTCCTTCCTTCTCTTTCCCTCTCTCTCTTCTTCCCCTTATTCTGTTTTTCAGCCTACTTGCCCTTCCTTAGTTTAATCACTTGTTGGTTTGAAGAACAGTGTCCTCTCATAGCCCGGAGGAGCCAGGGTTTCTGCTGGAGAGCTAACACAGCAGCACACAGGATACAGTGATGAGATAAGGTCTTTGGAACACAAGAATTTTTATTTATTTATTTATTATTCATATGTGCATACAAGGCTTGGTTCATTTCTCCCCCCTGCCCCCACCCCTCCCTTACCACCCACTCCACCCCTTCCCTCTCCCCCTCCTCAATACCCAGCAGAAACTATTTTGCCCTTATTTCTAATTTTGTTGTAGAGAGAGTATAAGCAATAATAGGAAGGAACAAGGGTTTTTGCTGGTTGAGATAAGGATAGCTATACAGGGCATTGACTCACATTAATTTCCTGTGCATGTGTGTTACCTTCTAGGTCAATTCTTTTTGATCTAACCTTTTCTCTAGTTCCTGTTCCCCTTTTCCTATTGGCCTCAGTTGCTTTTAAGGTATCTGCTTTAGTTTCTCTGCGTTAAGGGCAACAAATGCTAGCTAATTTTTTAGGAACACAAGAATTTAAATGTGTGACCAAACAAGACATCCCTCACAACCCACAATCCATTGCCACACAGGGACCATTGGCCTATGAAATAGTGGACAAGTGTTCCTTTGGAAACAGAACCCATATTTTTGCTTGGTTCTTATGTTTGTCTCCAAAGGAGAAGTAGTCAAAGTCACTGTTGTTTTATTGATACACAGGAAATGAAAACAAAACACTATATATTTTATCGGAAGAAAATAAGACACATTTGATGCAGTTCAAATACACAGTTGATGTGTGAAACGTATTAATTGTCAGGTTAGAAAGTGACATTTTCTACACCTAGGTACTGACTACCAATAAGGACTAGGCACTGTGCATGAGTCATCTGCACACAGTCTGACTTACTGTTTGCAACAACCCAACAGCAAGCACCGCACTATGTTGAAACTAGCGCTTAGCTAGGGATCTGAACTCAGGTATAGGTGACTGAATCTGGTGCTTAAGGACCAGGTGAGAGGGAGATGACCAGTACTTAAAGAGTAGGTACTAGGTACTACCAACTTCCTTGAGTCTAAAATGGTTTTTGTTATTGTTGTTGTTAAATGCCATAATCAGGTTATGGGTATATGTATGTGTGCTGTGTTCTAAGGCACATGTTACCTTTTGTGGGGACAGTGATGGTTACCAACCCAGCATTCACATCTGGCCTAAAAGCACAGCTGGGAGTCTCCTCCATGGGTCAGATACCAGTGGAGTGGTGTTTCTGCAGCATGGGTCTCTTCCCACTGGTGTCTACTGGGGAGAGGAGAAGCAGGTCCTCATGTCCTATGCAGTTTCCTCACAAACATTCAGGGAGTGCTAGCCCTTGAAGAGGTAAAAGATTTGGGGTTGAATGTTAAGCTTAAAATGGCTGTGGAAGTGAAAAGAATACAGAAATGAGTCATAAAAATTATTACTGAAATGGGAAACCATCCTCCATACAGAGGGAAGAAGGACAAGGAGGAACTTGCTAATCTTTAGAACAAAGCTGTAGGAAATGAACCAAAATTACAGCAAGCACAGATGCAGGTGGAGGGCAGGAGGAGGAATTATAGACACTGCCTGTCAAAGAGCCATCAGGCCAACCCAGCATCTCTCCCTAGAGAGGCAGTTTGGGTCCGTGAGCAAAGCTCATTTTGTCTTATTGTGACTGAGTCTTCCAGAGAAATCTGTTTCCTGACTGAAAGCTGATAAATCAAAGCTGGCTATGGATGGAGCCCTTTGAAACAGCTGATCCAAAACAATTTCATTCTAAACAACAAAACAGAACCCTTAGATTGCCAAGGGAAGAGGTGCAGCAGCATTCAGGGTATTCTGAGGGGGAGGGGAGACAGCCGTGGATGGAACAGAGCAGTCCTGCCTTTAGTCTGCTTTGGGGCCATGAGATTCGGGGCAGTGACCACTCTTCTTTTTTCCCTATCATGAGGTCACCCAAGGATAAAGCACAGTGAGCTTGAGGACAGGCTAAGAAAGTGAAAAACCAGTGCCAGGAACCTCATGGGGGTAATCTGAAGTCAGAGGCCAGGAAGAGGTTAATCAGGACCCAAAAAATAATGACCATCGTGTTTAAACTATTAATCAGTTTCCAACTAGGGCAGGAGAGCAGGGTTTGTCATTTATCCTTATTTCTTACTTCCAGTCTACATCCATCCAAACACAAAAGCTGTTGACTTAACTTTCTGAATATTTCTTGAATTCAAATTCAGTTCTTGTCTCAGTTACTGCAACAAGCTTCTAACTGGCTCCCTAGGTCATTTCCAAAGTTGTATCCATGTAGCAGCCAGAATGATCTAATTTCCCACTATTTTATTATGAGAGTTTCAAACACAAGGAAAGCTGAAGGAATTTTACAACAAAGACCCGTCTAACGCTTTGATTTTACCCTTACTATTTTATTTCCTTTTTTACTTAAGCTAACCATCCATTCCTGCACAGAGCCATCAATCTTATGTGCATTCCAAAGTAAACTGCTACTGGGGATGTAGCTCAGTGGTACAACCCTTACCTAGCATGTGCTCAGGCTCTAGGTTCAATTTCCAACATAGCAGAAAAAAAAAAGAGTAAATTCATTAGCATACTTCTTCCCAAAGAGTTGAAGTATACATATCATTAACCAGATTTGTTGGAAATCTTTCTTTTTCCCCAGAATGATCTTTTTAAAATGTAAAGATGGTTACTATGCTCTATGTGTAAGATTCTTATAGACATCTTAATGTTTATAAGAATTTAAGCTTGGTACATAGGCCCTTTTTGATCCAGTCCCTGTTTACCTTTCTGTCCTTGTCTGTTGTCCTTTCTTTCATCTACACTCCAGAAAATCAATAACCCTGATGCCTATAACTGCTGTGCTCCTGGTAGGTGTCTCCTTGGCCAGAGTTGTTCTCTAATAACCCAGGCACCTCTGTGTCTGGGGACTCCTACTCACCCCCACCTCTTGGAAAGGGCAGCTTCCCCTCAAGAAAGCTTCATGGGCCCTCCAAGGTAGGTGAGATGTCTTGAGGGTCTTAAGCTTCCTGCTGTCACTCTATCCTTGCACCTGCCTGCTACCCTTGGGAATACCATTGTAGTCTTGCCTTCATTCTTAATTGTACTCTGCTGGGGCAGATGCAGGGCCTGTCCAAGAGTGAATAGTCCATAAATGTTTGTTGAACAAATGGAAAAAAAAAACCTGAGTGGAATCAGTG